CTGCTGCGAAAGGAGTGAGGGAGGTTGGAGCCTGGGTCTTGAATCACAAGATGATGCTCATTCTGTGTTAGGAATTTCATCTCTTGATTCCTGCAGAACATTGCGTATGGCCTTCTGTCCTTGACAGAGAACAACTACTTGCAAAACCACAAAGGGTGGTAGACCTATTCCAGTGTTGTTTTGGTTATTCACCTCGAGTTGGGAAGTAAACTGCGTTTCATAATCTGAAACTCGAATGTAATCGCTCGGATGCTGTGGGTGTCTGTCACTTTCTGCACAACAGGCTTTGGTGTGATGGCTGGGAGAAGTGCTTTGAAAGAATGGTACCTCAGGACTGTAAACCCCCTGTCATCTGTTGCAGCTGATCTGGAAGTAGTTCTCAGCCCCTGACTCCCCTAAACCAGGCCCGACACTCAGGACTGGTTTTACAGGTTAGTCTGTTTGGATTTGCTAACTCTCTAGAGCGGAGCATCTCAGTTTCATTGTCACTCACCTTGTCCCATATCACCATGCTGTTGCATGCTTTATTTAGAAAGGCTTCAGTTTTAACCTTCAGGTTGAGATGAGGGAGACTGGTACAATTAAACCAAACCGATCCTTAACAGGTTTGCTCAGCCACATCCTCCAGCTGGAAATCTTTGATGTGCTCTTCCTCTTGAGGATTGCTCAAGGATTGAGTGTCATAGTGTTCCAGGTGGCTCTCAATGCTGAGTGACTTCTGGTTCCAGCTATTTCACTTAGATTTAATGGACACTGAGTTTTGAGTCTAAACATGTGTCCTTGATGATTTTTTCCTGAAAATTGGTGGCTGTTTCACTTAATTTTCTACTCTGTAGTTTGGGTGATGCCTTTCCTGTTCAGTTTGTTTTGCCACTTTGTGCTGAGCTAGATAGATTCACGTTAAAATATGTAAGATGCTGGCAGTATGTATATTCTTGTAAGCTGCTCATCTGTGATGTGTTTTGGACGCAGAAAGACTGCATAAGGTAATATCGGCAAAGCTATTGTTTTTAGGTAGCTTTGAACCTTGTAACGATACTTAAGATGGTTGGAACTGCTGCACTGAAAGCAGTGAGGTGCGTTCCGGAATGTGGACTCTTCTGCTGTGCAAGCAGATTGCTAAAGTGCTAAGGGTTATTTTCTTGTCACATGGACAGAAAATGTTATCTCTGTCCTAAGGTGGGCTTTCCATAATGGTTGGGTTTATTGCAGGCCTATTTGTGGGTTTACCAGCTCTGAAATAGGAGCTGCTCTGACAGCAGCAGTCAGTGTGGCCACAGCACAGACATACTCTGTAATGTACGCAGTCACTTCAAAATTAGATGCTCGGTTGAGTGAATGGATTTTGACTGTTAGTTAAGGGATCCTTTTCCTACATAAACCCTGGAGATAACTTTGTGTCTGGTAATACTGCATCCCAAAATACATATGTTGAAATTACATGATGCTGAAGACAGAATATTTTAAGTAGTGGAACTCTGTTCGTTAAACTCCTTTCCAGGAAAAGTCAAAATGAACACAGCCTTGATCACTTACATCCTTTTTTTTTTTTTCTTTTGTAGTCATTCGCTGTTCCATCCTACAGGTGTGACGCTCACAAATTAAAGCACAAGATAGAGAATGATTCTGTGAAAGTAAAGTGATAGATGTAAGATGCGTGCTAGATAGAAGCAGCCTGAACTCCTGCTTAGATTTTGTGACACCTAGGTGCCAGGCGTTGATGAACTTAATGCAAATATACTTAGGATATTGTGTGGCTGTGACTGCTACTGCAGAATTAAAAACCATGCAGAGAAATGATTGAAGTACAAATACCTTTTCAAAACTTCTAATTTCCAGTGAAAAATACTGTGTTGGTTTTTTTTCTTCAGACTGCCAGGGTCCTGCAGGGTTTTTTTCCTGTGGAGTTCGTTGCAGACTAGAATCCAGTGGCTTAAGAGGCAGCTCAGTGCAAGTGTGCACATAACCCCGGGATCAGTCACTTGTAAAGCTCCTCATGAATTCAGTAGCCAACACCAGAGTAACAGGTCATAAAATGACAAGCTGGCTTCTGGGGCTAGCTTCAGCCTCTTTCGTCAGAGGCCTGGGGAGATAAGCTGGGACATGTGGCTTTATGGGGCTGTCGGGTGGATTTCATGAGATGATTTGCAGAGAGGTGATTTCTCTTCAAGTCACCCAGGACGATGGGTAGGGTGAAATGTCCCGAGAAGGTAATTTTTTTGCTCCCCAGAGACTGGACTGCAGAGACCACCAAGATCAAGGGAGTTTATCGTGAGGAAGGATTTCGGGTTTTTGCAGTAAACTAGGTGTTGCAGTGCAGATGGTACATGCAGCTCCTTACTGCAACTGCAGTGGCAGAGGACTCGGGACAGAATGTGCTAATGAGCTACTGGAGCGTTCCAGGGAGGGATAAGTCTCATCAGTTCTCATTGTGTTGATGGGGAATATCCTGGGGCAACTTTCTTGCATTTTGTTTTGTAGCCCTCCGTGCTAAGTTAGGCTGAAACTTTTGAGTCTAAGCCTTTTCAGAAAAAAATGCGTGTGAGAATTCAGCGAGTTATCTTTCTGAGCCACCTTTGTCTTGGGATGGACTTGTTCTCCTGGTCACCTTTTGCTGTTGGTGTGCTTTGCACAGAGAAGAAAACAACTTCTCCTTAATTTCGTGTTTTACTACAAGCTGAGCTGATTTCAGTTTGAGTTTCATTTGGCTGAATGGGAGACTGACACGAGAATTTCTTCTGCTGTTGAATCTCCTTCTCACTGATTTCAGTGCTTCGGTGAAATATACTGATTAGCTCTTTAAGGCTTTTTACTTCTCTACAGACATCTGAGGCTTCCTTGCTAAAAGTATTAGTCTGATTATTATTGTCGTCTATTAAGAACACCTTGTTTAGGATTTTCCACATGTGCTCACCTTTGAAATTGCAAGATCTTGGATGGATGAGAACCGAGACTTGCTGTGACAGGCAGCCATTGTCTTTCTCCTGTCCATCTTCTGTGTGTGATCAAGTGAATACGTAAGAAAGCTTCCCTTCTACTTGAATGCCTCAGAATTGCTTCTCTACAGGAAAATGGGAAGAGTAACATCATGTCAAGGGCAGCATCTTACTGTTTTTCTCCCTTATCTATGCCAAGAGCCCGTCACTTTTATGTTCCTCTGCAGATGGCCTGTCAGCAGTTTGCATCATCGCCACTCTGTGTCCTGCCTTGCTGAAATGCCGAAGTGTGGGCTGTTCTTCACCTTGTCTCGAGGCACGCTTTCCTTTGGCTTTGTTTTTTCCCGGTCTCCAGAATCTGAAAGCTGCTGTTCTTTCTTTTTTTTTTTTCTTTTTTCTTTTTTTGATCTAAGACAGGAAAATTCTTCGTCCTCGAATTGTTTGCTTTAGAGCAATATGTCATTCTTTTGTTGCTGTGCATACGGTCAGAGAAACTGACCTGTCCCCAAGGAAAGGACAATCCAAACTGTAATAAACTGTTAAACTTAGATAGGGGATTAAAAAGAATAGGTGTTAACAAGTCATGTTCCACGTCAGTTACTGAGGCACGTGAAGGAGGATGTGCTCAAATTTATCTAGTAAGGTCAGCTAATTTCAGAATTAACTTTTTCTCCTTTGTTTTTAAACTTTCAGGGCTGTGTTGAGGGAACAGTGAATGCATTGGAGCAAATTCTTTACCTAATGTCTGACTCTGGGAACTGTGTAATGGTTGTTGCTGGAGGAACGTAGAGGAGAGTGTTGCTAGCTAATTTCACTTACTGTTGCTCTGCAGTGGTTTTGGAGGGGGTAGACCGTTCTACAGATGCTGCAGTATTTTGCTCTTTATTGCAGGGAGTTTATGGAACAGTGTGGTGAATTCTCTCCAGTCTGTATTTACATGCGAGATGAGGTAAGTCAGCGAAGTCTTCTTAACTGTCTCTTCTTGTTCTGTCCTTAAAAAATAAGAAAAACTCAGCTCTGCTTTCCAACCTGGAAAGTGTTTCTTTTGAACTTTTTTGAGAGGGGAAGTAGAAAAATGTTGGTCTTTTCAAAGCATGACGTGTCTGTATGGAAAAAAGCTCTCTTGGAACGTAACCCTGGGCCATTTAGACCTCTGAGCCCATAAAATGAGCTCAATGACCTGTTTGTGTTTTTCTTTCCAACTTCTTTTAAAGCTCGAGTCAAAACAGTGGTTTCGCTTTAATAAATATTTGCTTTTCTCTGTGTTTTGATCTTTTGCTGTTAATGTTTTGTTTAATATTTTGTATGTGTGTATTATGGAATTTGCTCTCCCTAGCTGTCCCCTTCGCTTCCCACTGACCTCTGTGGACAGATCATCTTTATTCTGGAAAAGGTCATTACAAGCAGAGGGGAGGTGTATGTAGTGAAATCGGCTGTCTTTCAGCTCTGAGGTGGTGCCTGTGATTTAACTTCTGGGATAAAAATAATGCTTTGCTGAGGTTGGATCCGCTTTGGATGTGTCTGTGGGATGGAAATGTAGGTGGGTCAGCTTCCCTTGAGATCGTTTAATATGCAGTGAATTTGGTAAAGCAGGTGAATACAGATGGATCCAGGTCTCATTTCCAGTTGCAGGAAGAGTGTGGTGTGAGCTGTTTCGGGCACAGTGTGGTGTTTGTTTTGATACAGGCTTCTTTCTAGAAAGAGCACTTTAAATGCTCACCCTCTCAGGCTGTTGCCATAATTACTTTCCTCTGGTTTTGTTACAGATATCAGGAAAAGATGCCCTGGAGAAGACAACACTGAAGTCACTTGGCCTGACTGGAGGCAGTGCCATCATCAGGTCGGGAGGAACAAAGTTTAGATTCTTTATTTTTCCTTTCCACTCTGGCGGTGAATTTGTTGTGTTTCACATGTCAAAAAAACCTCCTGAAACAAAAAGGCACACAAAAAGTTAAAAAATACAAACTTGGTAATTATTGCATTTGCCTGTTTATCTGAAACTGCTGTCCAGATGTGCTTCCCACAGCTGCAGATGCTGGCACCGACCAGTCATTGCAGATTAAAGGGGCTTGTTTGCTTCTTTCTTTTTTTTTTTTTTCTTTTTCCTGTGAGTGAAACAGACAATTCAAAGTTAAAAGTCTCTCTGAGAGGACGATCATCTACCACTTCATTCTTGCCTGCGCTGGGTTTCAGGCGTTAAACTCTCAATCCCTGCAGTGCCTCCTGCTGACTGTTTGGGAGGGTGAGGTGGGGGACGATGACAGCTTTGCTGTGATCTTCTCGCCAGTTCTTTGCAGTATATACAGAAGGCAGGAGTGATTAGAAGCTGTGCTTTACGACTGGCTGCCGTTTTTTCCCTGGAAGGCAGTTTTCTTCCTGTGGAGTGGGTAGTTCCTGTTCTGTTCTTTTGCAAAAACCCTCTATCCCCCACCCCTGACTTCAGAGCAGTTGCAGATTGTTCTGTGTGAGTGTCTGGAAGAGGCAGATCATGGAAGTGGGGGTACATCTGAGTCTAGCTGTCTTTTTTGTGTCATGGTCATGTCGAGAATGGGGAGGGCAGTACCGTTAGGATAAATTATTTTGGTTTTACTCCTTTTTGGTGTCTTTAAGAGTTGTCATGAAGAAATGCAGTTCATCTGGTCGGGAGGAAGCTGTGGGTGCCACGGTGCCGTGTAATGAGCTAACAGTGAGGCCAGGCTCTAAGGAAGGAGCGGTGGATGTGCCCCTACCTCAAGCAAACACATTCCCAAAGGACTTGGACCGCAGGGATGTGGCCATGTCTTTAAACAGCTGCACAGACAAGCAAGACTCAATTAGAGAATCTCCTGCCAGCTTGGAGGATCTGTGGCCTTTCTCAGAGCCGGAGTCTACTCCATTTGTCCCTTTTTCTGGAGATGGACAGCGTCTGGGGGACTCTTCTGTAGCTGCACCATCCCTTGGGTTTGACGTGCCATCTTCAACACTGCCAACAACTTCTTCCAGCCCTGGAGGCCCTTCTAAGCCAAAGAAGTCAAAGAACAGCCAAGAACTGCAAATGGAGCAAGAACAGGTAAGGGAAAATTTGTTTGTGATGAGGGTTTTTTTTATCCTGCCTTGCCTGAGGCTGGAAAGGAAAGATGCAAGGAAGGAAAAAGATGTTTCCATACTTAAGACATTTTCCCCATAATACAGGGTTAGGCGCCTCAGTGACATACAATTCTGTATGGAAATAGAGTTCAGTAAGGAAATACAGCAATTTGGACAGTTTACTGTAGGGAACACAAAAGGATGGGCTTTTTAGAATTTACTGTCCAGAGGCAAGCAAAGCTTTGGACCTTGAGGTGTCCTGTCCTTGACGAATGGTTCTAATGGAGGCAACATAACTGCATTAAAAGCAGTCCAGAAGAGCCTCAGTCTCTGTGCCTCAAATTCCATGCAGATTTCATTAACAAATGCCTGTGTGTCACCTGATCCCTGCGTACTTGTCCTTCTTTCAAAAATTGCTGTCTGCTGTGTAGTTTTCCTAAGATGAGCAGAATTCAGTCAGTCTTGTGTTTTATAATATTCTGAAGGTGCTAACTGCTTGTTGTGACTGACTTACCTCCCAGATAATGCAGAAGATATAAGCATAGTAGAGTTTTACATATGGAAACGGATAATTTTTGTAGCTTGTTGTAGGATTGTCCTAGGATAGAAGCAGTCCTGATAGGTTTGTTGCAACTTCATCCCATGAATTCCAAGATCTGAGAAGATGATGAAAGTTTCTAACTCTTGGGTTGTAAGATGTGCTCAGATTTCTCATCCGAGCCTTTCTGTGGAATGTGGAACCCTGTAGCAGAGCTATTGTAAAAGCAGTATTCCATGCTGCTAAGTTCTTGGCATTTGTTCCCTCAGACTTCCTTCTGCCTGTAGTCACTCTGACTTTTAGTTTAATTCTTTTGGTGACGTGTGTAGAATGTAAGGGATATTTCAGCTACAGTTGCATCTTACTTGCCAAGAGTTTGATGCTTGACAAAAACCAGGTTTGGACCTTTTCATCCTTTCAGTCTAGTCCCATTCCTTCTGTGAGTCTTAATTTTCTTAGTATTGCGGGTGAATCAGAAACCTTCCATCCTTTTCTATTTCTGCTTGCATATAAAAGTGTTTTCTGTCTTGCTCTAAAATATCCTGCTCCTTAAATAAAGTCTACTTCTCTAATCCTTTTCCCAGAAAGATAAATTGTTCATCTGTCGTCGTCGATGTCTTTGAAGTAAAACTGCATTGATTAAAGTTAAAAATGCCCATGCGGAGGTGCCAGAACTGATGGCTCAAGAGTGCTGTGATGCCGTTGCAGGATGGCTGTTGGATGGTTGGGTGTGCTTTCTGTAGGGTGTCTGTATGGAACTGAATGCCTTCAGCAAGGTTGAGTGTGTCTGGCAAGTGGCATAAAATGAAGTACAGGAGGCAGTAAATTCGTAACTTGCTCCCCATTATTGCACGTTGGGAGTTTCACATCCTGGAGTTCCTGTGACTGGCTCTTGCCGTTGCCCCTTCACTGCACATCACTAGGGCTGTCTTCAGGGTGCAGAGATCCCCTTCGTTGTTTCCCACTCTTTAGCACCGCTTAGAGTTGGAGTTCTGTGTTTATCTTTGGTTCTGATCCAGCCCCAGGATTGAACAGTGGAAAGCCGTGAGGAGCAGGAAGGCGTGCCTGATGAGGTTCAAAGGGAGCTCAATCCAGGAGGAGTTTAGCAGGGCCACGTGTGCGCTCTGCCGTTGGGGTAGAGTTTCTACCTGGATTGACTTCTTTGTGGTTGCAGTCCATTCTGGATGGGTTTCTGAATTGTTTAGGAGCAGAAGCCAGACCCTAGAATGACTCTGGAGCAGTTACAAATGTAGCAGAAGAGGCCTTGCCAACTCGGTGAATATTGCAGTGTATTAGAAACATGTTTGGGTCCATCTAATCGGTGTTATTTAACCTTTTGGAACTGCCCCAGAGCGTGGAGAAGTAAGCAGTAGGCCGGGTGATGTGTCCTGTCTAGTGTGGTGCTTGCTTCAGTTGTGCCTCAGGAGGAAGGGAGGAAGGAAGAGGGGCGCGAGTTCGTGGTGGTGGTCCTCACCAGTGCCGTTGTGTGCTCCTCTGTGTGCTGGCTGCAGAGACGGGGCTCCCTGGCTCCAGCCTCGTGCGCAGCCGTGCTGTTGGGCGCAGAGCTGGGCAGCGGTGGCCCGAGGACGCTCGTGATGTGGCGTCTTTCTCAGAGTTGCAGTCCAGTTCAAACCACTCGGAGGCACTTCTGGAGCCAGCTTCCCTTCCCGTTGGAGAGCAGCTTTGGAAGCAGCTGCAGATTCTGTTGGGGGGGCTCTGCCCTTGTGTTAAACAGCATGTGATTTTGACTGCTGCTTTCAAGCCCTTTGATCTCTGGTGCTTTTGCTGCTGATTGATTACATTTTGTTCCCTCCTCCATTCCTGCCATCCTCTGCTCTCCTTGCTCTTAGCAGCAGCAGCAGAGCAGGGCTAGCCGCATGGCATCTGCTTTTTGTCCCTTTTCAGTCCTGAGGAAAAAACCCAAAACAAAACAAATTATTTTTAAACTTCAAAGGTCCATTTTTGTAAAAGAATCTTCCCATTAATGCTTTGCCTGTGTGTGGTTTTTGAAGCTGAAGAGAGTGGCTGGATAAAATCTGTGCCGGCGTCACTTCGTTTCTTGGGCTAAAGATGGTTTACAGACAGCTGCATGCTGACTTTGATGTCAGAACATTAATTATTAGAAGGTAACTTTACACCAGATTGCCCATGAGATTAGAGCTCTCTGAGTTGCTGGGGAGGAGGTAGGTCTCCAGGGAGAGCTTGCTGCTGTGCAAAGCACAATAGCCACTACTTCTCTTCAGTGTAATACAAGTTTTCCGCAACTTACCTGCCTGCCTAGGCCCAAGGTGGTGACACCTGGCTTTAGTGCAGCGCTGTGGGCTGCCTGAAGAGACGGCTTCGGCGCACTTGTGAGAAGTGCCCGACATCTCAGCGTCGGTAGTAGAAGCAGAGACTTTGAAGAGTGAGGGTGACACACCGTAGTGCAACACCCTTGGCTCCTGAAAGGCATCGCTCATAGAAATACGACCGCAAAATGCACAGCTGCTTTCCTCCAGAGTTGTGTAATGGAAGGGAGAAGCTGCTGTGTGGTGGCTCTTTATTCTTACAGGAAATGGTCACCTTTTGTCGCAGCTGCAGAAAACACTAGGTGTGTAGTGGACTGGGAAGCGAGTTGGTGGACCTCGTAGCCTCCTTTTATAAATCACCATGGGACAGTAGTTTTCAGAGCCTGTATGCATTCTAGGATTATTGGTGATACATAAAAATAAGGTTGTATTGAGAGTACTCAGACTGAGAGATGCCCGATTGGAATACCCAGGTGAGCAAACGGTAGTGAGTGAAGAAAGAGGAACAGGGTGATGTCTGGGCTCTGGGGAAAGAGAGAATTGGTAGAGCAACAGGAATGGATACCTCTTTCTCTCTGAAGAGTTGTTCTTATGTCTGTAAGGAGGCGAGATGTATGGTCGATTCCACGGGGCGTTAAATGCATGGCAGAACACGTACGATGATGTCACTGTGATGTGCCAGTCTTTGCATCCTCAGACGCAAAGCACTGGTGTCCTCTGGTAGCTTAGCTGTGCTGAGCAGACACCTTGTGCTGCCCTTCGCTGATCGGACTCTGCTGTGCGGTTCTGGGATTGAGTTGTAGAAACACTGAATCAAAGCACCTGAATTTTAGCTCACAAAAACTCACTCATTACAGATCCCTCAAGGGGTCTCAGACGCTCTGTTATTGAGGGTTAGCTGAAGATTTAATTTTAAGGAATTCCTACTCTAATTCTGTGCTTTTGCAGTCTTATTAGACACGCGTGGATCTGCTTCTTCTGTATGTAAAAATACGTTTCTTCATGTTCAGTAGTAGCTAAGTAACATGTCTTGGTTTGGAAGTTAAGATACTCAGTGTTCGGTGTTGGCTGGAGAAACAGATAAAATTATAGACTTAGGAGCTAAAAGGTGGCCGTGTGTCTCTGTGGGGCCGGTACCGATATCCTGCGGTGCATCAGGCAGGGACATCTTGGCTGGGTCTAAGTTGGAGGTCAGGAATAGGACACTTATGTCTGGGAAGCAGTGGATTTTCTGGGACAGCACGTAGGGAGTTGTTGGAGGCTGGGGAATGGCTCTGGAGGGCAGGTTCCTGACGCCCGTTGGCAGCACCGTGTTGGCAGTGGAGACCCGTTTGTGTGAACGAAGATGTCTGGAACATGACGCTCGAGTGACGGTTGTAATACGCAGTGGTCTGGAGCAGTGAGCGCGCACCAAGGAAGAGGGGGGCATGCTTAGGACAGGGCTTTGTTTGCCTTCTGCTGTCTTGTGATTTCTGATGTCCTGGCTACAGACTTTAGCTACTGCTGTACTTTGCGCAGTGGCTGATGCTTTCCCTCTGGAATCGTGTTACTGTTAGGGTTAGCTAAAATCCCTGTTAGAGCCACTACTAAATGCTAATGCAGACATCGGAGGTCTCTCCATCGTATCCCAGCACCCTTCGCAACGTCCTGTAGGATATGCCTGTTCAGTTTGTTGTATTTTTTAGGGTAAGTCGGTTTTCAATACGTGCCTGTTTAGAACGAGGGGGAACTTAGGTCGGCTCGAGGAGACTGAAGCACACCTGATTACTGGGGAGGCCCGACTCGCTCTCCTCCGGCCCCCGACGCGGTTCCGACCTTGCAGAGAGCTGCGGGCAGGGGTGCTGTGCCACAGGCCGTGTGCCCAGGGTGGATCTGCGCGCTGGGGATCGCTCCCGTGGCGCTGGGCATCCCTCCTCTGAGCCCCGAAAGCTGCAATCAGGCTCCTTCACCCGCTCGTTAGAGCTGACCCTGCTCAACTTTCTAAAAGTAGCCAAGGGTCCCACCCACACAACCTCGCTCTTTTAATTTCTCAAATTACCCTTTAGTGCCCACAGGCAGAGTGAACATTGCCTTGTAATTTGTGTTGTGCTGTTGACAATTGAGGGAGACTCCTTCTGTTCCCAAGGGACCTGTGCCCGGGGGAAGGGAGAATGGGTGGGACAGAAGGAGGGAGGACATTGGGGCATTAATTAGGATTGGAAAGAGTATTTGAGGGTATAAGGGGAGAAGAAACAGGCATCAGGTTTGTTCATAGGGCTGTCTTAGGGTGGCAGCTGATCGCAAAGAAATGCTGTATTGACTGTGACAGTTCTTGTTCCTGGGAGGCTCTTCAGTCACGGACTGCTTGCCCCCTGCATCTCCTGCAGCCTGCAGCACCCTATCTCCTTTGTTTTCAAGCTTTGTTCATGTAAACGTTTGTGTGACCTAAAAAGTCTGGATTGTTCAAGAGCTGATAGGTCTAACTACCTCTTGTGGATTTGCCCCTGGCAGTGGTTTATACTCAGATGCTGACACAGCTGCTGCTTTGGGCACAAGGGCAGGTAGCCAGTATCTCGCCTTTTCTAAATCGAGAGGAATACATTGTGTCGTTCTCCCTTCGGAGACCAGGAATGCTAATGCTTAATAGGTTGGGGGGGGCTAGGGGTTTTGGTTTGGTTTTTTGGTGGGATTGTGAGTGTTGGTGGTTTTGCGGTTTTTTTTTAAATAGCTGAAACCACAGCTATAGGCCCAGCCCCTGTTGTGCTGAAAGGTTTGCCGTAGGGATACCCAGCTCCCAGCTGTGGGCTCTGGAGTCAGGGGGAGCACAGCAGAGGAGGGGGCTGTCTGGGCTGGCCCAGGG